GAAGAGAGAGGAGGGGAGAGAGGATGACCCCGGACCTAAGTCACCTGATTGGTTTCGCGCATGGGGTGTTATTATCATGGCGGTGTACGTGTCACATGTCTGCATTCGGGTTCGCGGATCCTATCAGGTTTGTTGCAGGATGAATCTTAGTCTCCGACATCTTGTTGACAGGAGTTTTCCAAAGCTATGTAACGCTTTGCCGTGTCCTTGCCTTTAACGTACAGTGAACATGAATCACGTGTTTGGAGAGTACGCACAGCGAAAAACGGCAGGAGGCGGTAGGGGTCGGGGTAGGGGGGAGGGGGTGGGGCGGAGGGTAGAGGCAATGATGTCCAGCAACCAAACTCAAGGCGTACCGCAGGCCTCGTAGACTGTTTCCGTTTCCTCGTCACAGCCTGCTTTGCCTTGGAGACTCCACATTCTGAGCTTGCTACGAAAGCGGCTGGCTTGCTGTCGTTGCCATCGCTGCAACTTATGCAGGGCTGAGCTTGTGACAGTACGAAATGTGCAGCATCTGTGGGTCAATCGCGTGCTCCACAGCCTTTTATCTAGCTTGGCTTGCCTTCTCATGTTGGACCGATGCCCCTGCCTCCATGCCCTCCATCTCTGATGCTTGCCATCCATCGCCTGGGTGGGGCATCTACGGTATGCAATGCCCTGGAGGCCCGGCAGCCTTCAGAGGCTTTGCCCTGGCTAGGCAAAACCGTCTTTCGCTGCTACGCGTCATCTGGAGCCAAGTGGCCGCTGCGGGTCACATGCTGCAAATGATAGGATTTCTGGAAGAGCGCTGGCAATGAGAGGTCTCGGTCTTGGCCTCTGCGTCAGCTTGCTTCATGCGTTGGCGGTACGACCTGACTCGCGGCAAGAAGGCAGCAGTACTGCAGTTTGCTTTCTCAGGCCCTTTCTCATTGGGCATGGTAAGGAACTTGGACAGAGCAAAGCATCCATTCTCCTGCCATGCTTCTAGCATCTCTGTCACAGTACATGCGCTATCCCCGTCTCAGGATGGATGCGGCAGCATGCAACGCCTGTACACCCGGCTCCGTCGGGAACTTCTTGAGCGAAGCAATGACAAGCTCCTTAGCTGTTCCAAGTGTTGTGCTTTGTGGTTCGCAGCGCTGTTCGAAGGCTTAATCAAGTCAGCGGCAATGCCGCTGAGCTGGGCAATCTCCACCTGCCATCATGAGTTGCGAAGCAACCTGGACCTAGGACTTAGGACTGCCTAGGTCTTCTAGCAGATTCTAGCATCCTAAGTTATGAAGAGAGGCCGGCAGACCATGTTCTGCTGGTTGACCCCCAGGTTGGCCAATGCACCGCAAGCCTGCTCCTGGTCACTTCACTGAGCTGTCCAATCTCCCTTCTTCTCAAAGCTGCTAACATCTTCTGAAGTCCCAGCCATTACCCTCACCGTATTCAACCGTCTTCAACCATCACAGTGCTTTGGGTCCTGAACACCTGCGTGGTCAGAGTGCCTGTCCAGTCGCCCAAAGCTTGAAACCGTGAAGACATGTGAAGACCCTCGGAGCTGCTGGGCTGTCCGGAAGCCTCTGCATGGAGGAAATGATCTTCTTGTTGCCTCCCGCCCGGCCAATGGCAACCTTGCTGCTCGCATGCGGGAAGACCACAAACAACACAGGTTGGCGCCTTGTTGGCATCGTCGTGGGCGAAGTTGGACAGCGCTAGGCAGGCGAAGTGCTGAACCCGAGGCTCATCTGATACATGGGTCAGCAGCACCGGCAGCAATGGCAAGTGCAAACATCGAAATAAAATGCAGACGCCTGTCCAGGAAGACATGGCATGCATCACCTGATTCAAGAACTCAAACTGATTGATGCCAAGCTGTCTCAAGTTGTACGGCAAGTCACCATATCAACGGCGCCAGCTTTCAGGATCACGGCGCAGTTGTCCTTTGTAAAGCTCCCGCTCATTTGGGCAGATGCCCATGCAAATCGTCCTCTGCAGTTGCCAGGTTGCCCAGCGCACCCAAGCCAAACGCCTGGCATGCTGTCTTCAAGCATCTCCGGCTAGACTCTTGTGTGCAGACTGGGGCCTGGATTCCTGGATGCGACTGATGCAGCCGCAAGCCAGCGAGAACCTCTCGGAAGCGATATGGCATGTTCGCAGCTCTGTACCGCCACAGAAAAAGGCCCAGACCGCGTTCACGCCCTCGTTCTGTGCTATGTGTGTGCGATTCGCCTGCAAGGCTCGCAATCAAAGATGCCCTGATCATTACAATCATTACAGTCTTCAGTGGTGCACAGGCCACTAACATCTGAATGCAGCAGGCCTCGTCCAAAGCTAAGTTCGCAATGGCAGCGCAGCCTTGTTCTCCAACCTTGCAATCCATGGAAATCCATGGGAATGTTTCGGTTGGTCTCTGTTGAGTTGGGCTATTCCGGGCTTGGAGACTGCAGCACAAGCAATGCGGTCCCAGATTTGCTATGCCCGGACATTCTTTACTCTACGCTGGCGTCTACTGAAAATGCACGTCCGCGCTCAAGGAAGTTTTGCACGAAACTCTGCGCATTGCATCTGGGAGGAATCAGGCAACTGTAGGCGAACTGAGCGCACGGCCTCTGGATGCGAAACATGGTATTTCATGCCAAGAATGATGAGCTCAATGCCGCCCTGCAACACATTGCAGCGACTAGGCGCTCAGGACACAGCAGCCGTCACTGAAAGCGATTCGCGGCGCACAGTTACGGCCGTACTTTAACCATCCCAGGCCCTAGGCCCCGTAGGCATCAGGGAGAGGATGACGGGCCACGTCATTGCCCAACCCCTTCCCATATCTCATCCCATGTCCCGTCATGATGCGTGATGCCGAGGAGTCTCCTCGCGTCGGATGGCTTCCCGGGAGCTCTGGAACTCACCGAGGTTGGCAAAGGCACGACATCCCTGGCATTTTGCAGCATGGCCCGTTCGTTGGGTAAAATTAAACCTGAGCCGTGGCACTTTTCGTTGGATGCCCGTGTCGGCTTGGAAGGACTTCAAGGCCGTGCAGATCAGCGCCTTAGAGGATGTGCGGGACTCAGAGCTAACTTGAAGCTTGAGGTCGAGGTCATGGGGTGCACACGATGCCTCCCTTGGTGATGATGGGGTCCTGACGTCTAGGACGTCTACGATTTTCTAGCGGAGCTCTTTTCCAATCGCACTGCTTGCGTCCCGCCAGTCCTGCATAGACTCGACCCTCGCCAGGATGGAAAGAACCTGACCACAGGTCCATAGCCCTTCCAAGTCTCACGTGCAAACATTTGCTAGAGTGCGAGTACAGTGAACTCTTCAACAAGAAGGCCATGGGTGCGGCCTCGCAGCCAGTCTCCTCATTAAATTGATCTGGATTCGACATCTAAGCTCCTCCGTTTGCAAGCAGCGAGCAAGCAGCTCCTGGATTCTGGCTTCCGCCGGGAAGGCGCGCATCACCTGAGCTAAAGCACGAAGGGTGTAGACTCGGATATTGAGTTGGTCAGACTTAGACTTTGCACATTTTGCAGTGCTGTGGGCAAAGAGAATAGCAGAGCTTGAGTCACAGCAGTAAGCGCATCAGCGTAGCAAATGTTCGGCCAGGGCACAGCCAGGACGAAATCCAAGAGGCTTTCGCAGACATGAATCATCCTGGCAACGTGCACAACAGGATTCTAAGGCTGCAAACATGCTGAGGCAAATTCCAACAGGCGAAACCAATAGAAATCATGGATACCACGACCAAAGCGAGATAGCAGAGCTCGGGTGGCGGGTGAGGGTAGCCCAGGGTCACAGTGGCCTGCCCGCAAGATGCACAGCTTCCATTCATAGCAGGCGCTCGTAAACACCACAAGGAATCTGGGGCCAGACCTTCAGCGCGTAGAACACGACGGCTGAGTTTTCTGCGTGGACCTTGACAAGATGATTATAGATTACCGCGTTGCTGAGCAGCGATGATCGCCTGCAGCACCTGCACAATTCCGTTGATGGTGAAGGCCTTGACACATATGCAGAGAGCCTGCCCAAAGAAGCCAAAAGTGCCAGAGTCGCGGACCTGGATGAGGCCGCTTCTCATCGTTTCGTCGAGGCCAGCAATTGCCACAAGCTGGCAACGAGATAAGCAACAAGAAGGTTATGATCGTAAACTTGCAACATTCGCTGGCGGCCGTTCAAGGGGTGGAGTAGGGTGAAGGGGTACAGAAGGTTTGCCTGCCCCTCATGAGGTGCGGGGCAGTCAACTCTTTGCTTGGGCCACTCTTAGGGCTAGCACCTTGATTGAGGACCGCAAGCGTGCAAAGGGCAGCAGCCAAAAGCTTCTGTCCAATTACAAAAATGAAGAATGATAAGATCAGCCCTCTCTCCAATATGGCAATATTCCCGAGAGGGCCAAAACGAATTGTGCCTCGATGCAGGGTGGCCTTTTTGGCGCCAACGCGAGGCACTGCAAACACTCCAAAGAGCAATTACACGTGCACCTGGGGCGGCGCGTCTGGCGTCAGCCACATTTTAGCTGCGTCAGTGCATCATTGTGAGTTGAACTCATGCTCTCACACTCGCCAGGAAATTGGCCTGATGCGGCACAGGGCAGAATTCCTTTTGCAGCCTCAGCAGGTCACTCGCTCTAGCTTGGGACCAGGCGTAATCTCGAGTGGATGCACCACCTCTGCCGCTACCTGTGCAAGGCAAGGAACTCTAACATGCACATGCAACATAATGTTGAGAGGATCCGCCAAAGGAGCCTCTGTCACAATTGACTCGGGCGTCCGCATTGGCAGTTCTTCCACGGGAAACCTGTACATTGCGCACGGCCTCGTCCGAAGACATGCCCATATTGAGCGACCCCTTCCTCGTCCTCTGTGGGGTTTGTCGGAGGTCTGTTTCCACAACAGTGCACAAAGAAGTTGGGGTCAGCCTGGGCCAGCTTCTTTTACTGACGCCCAGAACGCCTACCTTAAGGGCTGAGCAAATCGAACTCCTTCACTGCTAAATGACCTGCTCCAAAATGAACGCTACGCAAGAAAGGCCAAGACAACAGGAGGGTGATGTTTCTAGGCGGTGGCCAGGCCTGGAGAAACTCCCTGGCGACCGTCCAAAAAGTCCGGCGACTGCAGCGGTTGCAAGGCTCTAGCCTGGGGTTTCACACTCTCGCTCCAGCCGCCCGCTGCTCGTGGATTTCGCGTGGTGCGACTTGAGGCAAGCACGACCGGCGCCGTGTGTGTAGCACCACGACATGGGCTCCCCTGTGCGAGTTGCACCCCACGGCTCGCCCTCTCAACCCTCAGTCCCAAGCCAGCCTTGCCCCTCGAATCGTCGCAGGTCCTCAGCTGGGCTCATAAGCTCGCAGCAAAAAAAAACTAAGAAAGCTTGCGCTGAAGGACAAGGTGAAAGACTTGAGGCGAGGCAGCGGCTTCAGTTTGCCTCTCAGCACTGGCATGGGCGGGACCTGGCCACTTTTTTGAGCTTGAAAGCTTGTAGTATGCCCACGTTTCAGGGAGCTCGACCTTGCATGGCACGGCATTGAGTCTGGGAAGCCTTGCAGAGAGGGACGACCTCTGAGCTTCTGCATCTGCAGCTTGCCAGCTCCAACCTCTGAGCCACTGCATCCGGTGAGCCTTGCATCTGAAGTGAAGCCATCAATGCAATGCTCTGCATATTGCTGTGCCTCCCATGCATGAATCCTCATGTCACGCGGCGCCTGGCGGGCTAGGGACTTTGCCCAAGCGCACTCGCGAAGCCCCTTCTTCTGCCTGGAGCAAGGCAGCAAGGCGTAGCAGAGCAATCGAAAGAAGGCCAAAAGCAAAGCCACCACTGGCCACACACCTCAGCCCAGGGGGACGAGGTCATCAATGGCACCCGGTCTTCCACGTACTCCTCGCGGTAGTGCGAGCCTCGGCTACGCCCTGCGACGCCAGCCTCTACATCCGAGAGGCTGCACGAGGGCTATGCGCAACGGTCCAGAAGGTCTAATCCCTTCCCGCTCTGAAATCTGCCCCTAAGACTACTTTTGAAAGGCCAAGACTAAAGTTGATTTCAGCTCGGATCCTCTGAATTACGCGGAGTCCCTAGCATGTCTGTAAGGATTTGGGATCGTCTTGATTTCTTGTTTTTTAATTGCTTTTGAAGGGCTTCTATTTCTTGAAAAGAATCTATATGAAACCTGAATGCGATTTTAATTGGGTTTGTTGCGATTCACAATCGTTTTTCAAATAGAGTCTAATTTCATGTCAATGGCTTTTAATTTGATTGAATTGAGTTGTCCTTTCGATTTTATGGCCATTACGATTTTAATGCGATGTTCATTTCCATTAGTCGTTTTATTTGTCTTTCGATATAATCGTTGTTTGATCGATTTCAATTAGATGTCAATAGGATTCATTATGCACCGCCCCCCCACCCGGGCTCCCCGAATAGCAAATGCGGATCGGAGCATGTACGTGACATTGGGGGGGGCTTCCAACAAGAAGGGGATCTCCAACAGGCTTTGTTCCCTAAACCTCAGAAGGAGACATCAACATCACAACCACCTGCTCAACCGTTTAGTGTTTGATGCAATTGCAACCCACCTTCATTTTGGCATTGACATCGAGGTTCAGGGTGGAGATTTTCCGGTAGGCAGAAGCTGAGAGAATCCGTACCAACCAAGGATCTTGAAAGGGGATCCCAAAAGGCGCCTCTCCTGGCAAGCCTAAGCCTGTTGAGGGACTTCCAGGACCCCAGCACAACTTCATTGCAGATACAGCATGTGATGGTCGGAATTTGCACTCACTTTAACCCTAAAAACGGCCCACAAGCACCTAACCGAAACCCACAACCTAAACATCTCAAGCTTCCCAAACCTCGACGCTTCTTCTCAGATCCTAGGCCTCGAACCGCCTGCACCCTGTGAGCTCACACAGCTGGGGCCAGAGCGAGCGCCGCAGCAGACCATGTAGGCACGCGAGCAATCCTTGGGACATGACCGCCTTCGACACGAAGCTCAACTCCAAGACCGCCCGGGGCCGGCACATCCCCATCCATGCTCTCCAGTCAGCTGAGGAAAGCTGCATGTACAGTGGCAATGCTGAACGCCCAACGTTCTGCCGGCTAAGCTGGTGGCTTGCCAATGGTTAAGGATTAACTTTGCGACATTACGTTTGCCTGCTCTCTGCAGGCTTGATGGGAAGCTTTCGTTTGGGCCAGAACGCAGCACAGAGGCAGAATGGTGTTGATGATATGTTGATGGCTTGCAACGGTCTACAAACCAACCGCGCGGAAAACTGCGGAGCTGCCTTGACCATTTGCTTCACAGGGTTCGCGATGGTGTAAATGTTCCGCATGGAGTTTGTGATTACCTCTCACGCAAGCGAGCAGCAAGTGTTTCCAATAAGCAGAAAGCAGAAGCGGCAGCCTCTGGAGAAGGCATCTTCTCGTCGCCTCTACAAAGAGAAGCTCCGCTCTTCAGAAATGCAGCCCCTCTTTATTTGAGAATCTGAATAGGAGAGAGGAGTCTGACAGCGTCAGCTGCGCGGTACCTGCCACTGCGTTGGCCAGGATCGTCTTTCCTCGGTCAGCTTCACACCTCAGTGTGCAGAGGAGTGCGCACGACATCGCGCCGCCGTACGGCTCTCTCTCCAATCAGCTCGAGAACAAGATGGAGCACGAGGGGCTGACAAAATTGAGAGCGCTGCACACGCCTGGTGGACAAAAACGAAACAAACATCCATCCCCACATGCCTTCCTCGGAGTGACAGGCGCAGCTGGATAGGATTGCAATCGCAGTCATTCCAGTGCTTGCCGCAAGCGCCTGCTCGTTCACATGCTGGTCCATCGGATGCCAGTACATCGCAGTCACCAGCGCCTTGTCGTTCCCAGAACGCTGCTTCTCTACGCAAGCGAGCAGCTTGCAAAACTGCCGAGTGGCTTCAATGCCTTTCGCGTTGATGACAGCTACCTCAAGACTTCCGTGACCTTTGATGACACCATTTCCAGCTTGGCCCTGCCTTTGCATCGTCAGACCCAGCTACCATGCCCAAGGCATAGGCTCCGCTCATCTCAGCACACAACAATCTGGATTTCAATGTTAAGGGCCCTCATATGCCCTCATGAAGGCCAGATGAGCCTGCACGCCCTGTGTCTCAGGATACTTTGCCATCGCGGCAATGATGCAATCGATGTAGCCAGCCTTGCGATGTCGAGGTCGGCAAGGCCGTGTCTTTCTGCAAAGTTTGGCCAGGCCTGGCCTTGAGAAGCTTCGCCGCTGCCTTGCGCAAGGGGTTGCGAATCTACAACTCCATGGGACCCATGGGATCCCTGGCATCTGGCACGGTGGACTCTCTCTATGGCCGGACCTCGGGCCAAAGAGTCAAGCCAGAGAGGATCCGCAGGCAATGCTCCTTGCGGCAATTGACCGAAAGAACAAAGCCCCCAAAGGCTGCAAAAGAAGCGGAAACTCCTGGACCAAAGGGAAATCGATGTAAAATCTCATCACCTGCTTTGAAAGAATTCGCTTCGTCTCAGGGCCCCTTCTTTTCAAGCCAAGAAGTGCCCAGTGCCAGTGCCTGCAAGGTGATCTCTATGCCACCATACTGCATGATCTGCGGACGGCACCTCAAGGCATTGCCATCTCTTACAGTTAACTGAAGCATTGAAGCAACATCTGTGCTCATTGCTCATGATGCTCATGCTCTGATGCGGGGCGAGCAGCTCTTGGTTCGTGGAGATCGCAGCGAGGAGGTTCATCTGGCGAGGTTTGTTGAAGTTTTTTGGGTGGGAGATGAAGTCGGCTACCAGGAGTGTAGCGAGTGTAGGAGTAGGCCAATGCTTAGCAGAACGTCAGGAATCGGTTGCTTGCCCAACCATGCAGGCAATACGCCCTCTGTGATGAGACCCACTGTTCCCTCATCAGTGGCCCTGGCACACAACAAACAGTGCTCCAAGCTGTTTGGAGCAGAACAGCTTTGGCAACTGCATCAACGCTGCACCTTGTATCGGCAGCTGATCGGATAGCATTGAGAATTGCGGGAATCCCTTGTGCCTGGTAAAGCCCAGCCTGCCACAAGCATCAAGAAGATTTACTTGCTGATGGCCGATGATGCCCGATGCCTGAATGGATGTTGAATTGCCACATAGGGTGGCCAGGCCTAAGCTGCCATGACAGCCGGTCTCAAGCTTTCGCAGCCTTTTGCCTGTGTCCCCAGACACTTCAATCCAAGTGCTTGGACATGAGGATTGCCAGAGTGAGCCTCTCCAACACACAGAGCTACCTGTCATACGTCCAGTGGTGCCATCTTCTGAAGGCGCCTGCATGACTTGAAGGAGCACCGGGATCAGGCCAGCCGAAACCAGAGCATCCTCAAGAACTTGCAGCACCGTTTGACTCCTATGAACTGTCCCAAGATTTAGAACCTGTCAAGTTGTGGGGCATTCCTGCAATTGGCTAGGGCTTTTGCTTGCTTCTCGCGCGGTCCTTGCAGCCTTCATGCTTGGCCAATTCATTGATCATCTGCAAGGCGCTGATTGCCACCTGCCGGAGTCTGATGCAACACCACTCGCAAGGCCTCAAGTTTCCAAGAACAGTCTCATCATCTACTGCTAGCTTGGCCACCTGTGGATCACCAGAGTGATACTGCAGTGTGTTCTTCACCGCCTGAACCCCACCGGCGTCGATGATCTGGGCAGGAGGTCGAAACTTCAAACTGGCCGCGCGCACACCCTACGATGATGCGCTTCCCACAGCCTGCGTCGCGTACTCCGGAATGTAAGCCTGTGGTTTCTTGCACTGTATGGAAGATTAAGTGCCCGTACGATCAATAACAACAAATCATTACAGATAGCGTTTGTAGTCAACAGCTCTTGTGCTGTCAAACGTCAAGCGGAGATAACGCCGAGAGGGCGTATCGGTGGATCACCGCATCCTGCGTTGCAGGCGTTCCGGACATGGGTCTCAAGGCCTTGCCAGGTTTCGGCTCCTGTGCGAAGTGGTTCATGGCACTGATCAACGGCCGGATGCCACCGTCCTCTGTGCAACGGAGTGCAGTTGGTTCTGTTGGCTTCTGAGGTTCAGCTTTGCAACAGGTCTTACTGTATGCCACAGCATGTCTTTTGCTCGACCTGTTGCACAACCACCAACCATCGAAAGAGCTAGACTCAACTAGACATGTCGTGGACCCCAAGAGCAACCTGGACTTTGGATTACTGATGAACTCTTCCTGGCGGATGCATAAGTGGAGTACAAACAATCTGCTCTTAAAAGTGAAACGAATTCGCTGTGAAACAAGCCCCTTTGGGGCCTGAGTGTTGGCCTGCGTCATGAGACTCCCAACTTTTGGAAAATTCACGGCCTGTTGCAAAGTAAGTGTGGCAAGAACCAAATATCAGCCAGGCACCCCGTGACGCTGGCATGCATTTACATTCACCACTATCGTCCAGTGGTTGTCCAAGCTGCATCTGGCGGAGCCTTGCAAAAGCATGCTGCTCCAACACACTTGTGGCTGCTGGTCACAGATTCCACGACAGCCAGATTCCACATGGACATGAGCTTGTAGACCAAGCTGATACCCCCTGCACTGGGAGCTTTGCATCCTCGGCTGTAGGACCCCTGCCTTTTTGCGACCGCCGTAGCAGCTGGTCTTCCAGCGTCCCTTGCCTCTGCAAGCGAAAAAGGCATGACAAAACTTAATCTTCTGTTTCCGCACTCAATTGACGTAAGAAATGATAATTGACTGTTCAGGTTCTGAGTGATACCTCGAGAAAACCGCTCCGGCCTGCTGAAGATGCGATTGCCAAAGAAAGCTCCTGCAAGCAGATTTGTTTTGGGCAGTAGGCGTTGTGACGACTTACGCGAAAGCAGTTTTCACCAACTATGACCTTCGTGCCAACCTGCTGACCCCCCTCGCTAGAGTTTGCTTGTTTTTTCCAAGGCGTGCCATCATTTCGCAGGTTTTGCCCTTGGGTCTGGGTGGGCGCGCAGCTTGGTTTAGGTTCTCAACGATCCCGCCATGGCAATGCCTCCTCCCCTTCTCTTTTTTCTGTTGCTTCCCATCCCTGCCCAATTCTGACGCCCAGCAGACTCATTGCGATGGGCTCGTCAAAACAACGGCACATGGATGGGCACGGGCTTCGAAGATTGAGCACATGAGAATGTGCCCCTCATCCTACACAGCTGTGGGGCCGGCAACTGCCTTTGTCAAGGCCTCATGGCGTTGCCGCGGCCAAGCCTGCCCTGAGAGCATTCCACCTGTGCCTCGCCGCCACAGCGTCACTCACGCCAGGGATGAATTAGGCATGTAGCTCTCCCCACCATGTGTCAAGATTTCTCTGACAGTCCAACCTTCAAAACAAGCACGTTCTTCTTGTGCGAAATCCCGTGTCAACATGTCGCGCATCAAGACTTCTCTCAGAAGTTCCTCATAGCAAATGGCCACTTGTTGTGCGCAACTTCCATGCCAAATGAATTATGGGCTTCTAATTCGTTCGCTCTGAGGGAGCTGCCTCGTTTGAATGAGCGTTTTCTGGACCTTTTTTACTTCAGGAGGTAATGGCATTGAGATTATATGAGAGATCATGTAATTCCACATCCTGCAGTTCAAGATGTGCCGCTTGAATGTGAGTTTGCCCAAGACCATTTCCAAGGGACTGTGCACAGACACACGGAAGAGTGCTAGCTTTCCCCTGAACGTGAATGTTTGCAGGGCGAATTGGAGCTCTGACCCAGAACCACCACACGCTGGCATGTTGCGATGAACTCAGACTCTTGTTGATCTCGGTCATGCTTCTCAAAGATCTCACCAACTTTGTTCAGAAGCACGATGGCTGCATTTCAAGCTTCTTCTTGACACCTTCATGTGTGGGCCAACTATAGCCCACTGACAGCTTTTCCTGCGAGCATCTTTGTAGTGTTGCCCCACGGTGTTCCCCTGAACGTGCATGGCCAGATGTCTACCATAGACTTGAAGCATCTCACATTAGGTCATTAGGACCCTCAGGCGTGTAACATCCATCTTTAATTCAGCCCTCCATGACACCAATGCCGCTGTCTGGCCTCTGCACCCTTGGTTTTCACTAAATCGGGGAGGCTTGGACCTTGGATTCACTTGACTCAGCGAAAGAAAAAGAGGATGAAGAAAACAAAGCTCCATTTCACATGAGGCTCCCTGTAGCTATGCCCGGATAAATTCTGGCAGAAGCAAGTGCCCCAGCCAGAAGGGTGCCACGCGCTGAGATCGTAGCCCCGTTTCAAGAGCTCGGGAGACGAAGTGCTGTGCCACATGTCCTGGAAAGTATGCCCGGTCCGTCTACACAAGGCTTTGGTGGGTTCAGCTTTCAGCATGTTAGATCTCTGCGTCTCCTGAGCGGACTGCTGCAACTGGGACATGTAGTCGCCGAAGTCACAGTACAAAGCCACGTTTTGCAGCCTGCTGACTATGTGCTGTCAGCAGGCTTCGGATACACAATCACGCTTCAGGGCTGCAGAGGCCACGTACCTCACCTTGCATGCCTGACGATGTCGTAGTGTTGTACGCGAACATCATCACAAACAGGTGCGCCACACCGATTCTCAGGCTCATCGGGAACTAGGATAGAAAGGCCTGTAGGGGGACTCAATAAGCCTACGGGCCAAACGATTGTGAGTGCGCGCGTCAGGTTACAGAAAGGTCAGTGACTTATATGATGTGATTGACAAACATGCTCGATGACATTACATCTTATCTTTCTGGACCCTAGCTCGATAGCACAGATTGGCACACTAATTAGTGTAGAGGAGCCTGCACATGTTCTGCGCCGATTTACTTCATGATTTTCGCATATCTTCAATTGAAGACTGAGGAGTGTCCATGGACCACCATGTCTTTCTATCTGACGTGGATGATTCTTCCCCCCATCACTTCAAACAGCGCATAACACCTTGAATCCCATCATGGAAGGAATGAGGACATGCGTGATCCCAACAGCCCTCCAGCCTCGCAACCTTGGGGCACAGCGCACTTTTTGTCTCTGTTGGCAGGGTGATCTTTCTCCCTTGCCCCCTGCTTTTATTATAATCACTGATGCAAGACAGCTTTCCACCGCCTGGACATCTTGGGCTCTTGTGGACGAGATCGATCGCCTGACCGAACCACTTCATCACAGTGAGAAGTGACTCCTCTGGCAGCTGCTTCGCAGGCAGCTCTTGTAGAATGGAGAAGTAGTGTCTCAGTCTCAGATTGTTTCGAGTACGAATGAAGAAGTATCCGATGAGGGACCCTTGCCCTGTCTCTGCCCGACATGCAAAATGTCTTGGGAGCGCCTGAAAGCCGGACGAGGCGCCCCCGTGAGCTCGAACCTGCAGATCCATGCCCCGTGCTTCCCACCCCATTCTCCCGGTATATAGTGGGGTTATATTGGGATAATGGAAAAGAAAATGGAAACCACTATAATGGGTTATATAGGGATTATACTCAGCAGCCCGGGCTCCGGCCCGGCGACTGTTGGGCTTCGTTGTGGCACAATGTCAGCATTGAGCCCCCCGGGTTGTGACTCAAGGTGTGCAGGTTTTAAGGATGCTGGACATGTGGGGTATGGCCTGAACGGTTCTTCACAGCCTGTGCCTCAACTGCTGCTCTCTCTCTTTCTAACACGTGTGGTCGGTAGGGAACAAAGGACACATGGATATCTACACCAGTTCTGTATCATTGTCCTCAATCATTTAGCTTTTCAATTCCTTGATTCCCTCTCTTTCTTCTGAAGGGCCTGTGGCTGCCGCCTCACTCAGGTTAGCTCCTGCAGGCAAGCCGTCAGATGACTTCAGACACGTCAGCTTTCAAGGCTTGAACAACCGGTCCTGCAGAGTCTCCCGGAGCCTTGCTGACCTGTCCGGGCAATTTTTCGTCGCATGTGGGCGTATTCCGGATCAGAAGCATGGCATCGGACTGCATACGACGGGAACAGAGACAAATGCCTTGAACAGGGACCAGCTTTCCACGGATTCCTGGCGCAGGAGCGCTCTGCCTTTGACATATCTTCACAAAATGGCTCTCCTCCCCCGCGCCGTCAGGGCGAAAGCCAAAGTCCACGGCCTGCAACAAGCGAAGATCCGATCCTCTCTCGCCTCTTTTTTACCATCAGCCTCTTGTCTGCCCTGGCGCGTGCCGCTTTGGCCAGTCTTCCTGCAGAAGCGACAAAAAAGCTCAAACAATCTGATTCATGCTTTCTTAAGCTTGCTCAGCCATCCTTCTGGGCAAATCTTGCAGTTTGCCACCTTCAAGGAGCACACTACTGCAAAGAACATGCCTTCTGAAAATCTTAGCCGCAGCGGCAGCACCCAGCCTGCCATCAAGGGCTCCTTTACGAACCTGGCCATGCACGGAATTCGCACGGCTCTTTTGCTAGCTTCTGGCCATCACGGGTTAACGGTTAAACTATGCCAGCAAGACCCCAGCGGAGTGTCCCCGTCTTGTGATGGCGGTGCGTCATTTAAGGACCTCTTAGCAGTCTTAGTGCTAGCTGAATTCCAGCACAGCAAACGAGACCATCAGCCGTTGAGGTCCAAACAGCATGCTGTGGCTTGACATCCGTGAGCTCGACAGCAAGAACTGCCAGAGAACAGTTCTGTGAATATTGTGGTCTGCCCAATTTATTGACTCTAATGGAGGCGCCTCAGTTTCGAAGGGCGTGGACACCGAGCGCCTTCAATGACTCAAAAGAAGCACAGTGCTCTCAACGGCTGTGGCATTGAAGGGGCCTGGGCCGCGCCAGCTTCCGCAGCTCTTGCTGCAGGTGGCGCTGGCTCGTCCGGATGTCTGAGAGGCGCTGACGAAGCTCCCCGAAATCCAGGGACTGTCGCAGCTCTGAGCGACCATAGCCGATTGCCTCACCGATGAGGCCTTGCAGGCCCGCCAAACTGTCCTCCAACTGCTCGGTCCGCTCTTCGTCCTCCTCCTCCCGAAGCTCTAAGAGCCTGTCTAAGCGAGGTCGCAGCTCTGCAAGTGGGCCTTCTCCAGGTCCCAACAAAGCCCGAAAACAGTCTGCACAACTCCGGAGCTGGGATTCCAAGATATCCCGTAGCTGCCGTAGCTGCTTCTCGCCGCCACTGCGGCCTCGACTGGAGCCTCTTTCCTCCAAAGAAGTCTCCTCTGAAAGCTTGCGCCTCAGGACCTGCCCAGAGGGGCTGGGCTTCAGCGGCTCCACCACACGCTTGAAGGGCAGCACGCTGCTCTCCATTTCCACCACGACCTCTGCCTCTTTTGCAGGGCCTTTTGCAGGGCTCTGCGAGCCGCGGGGGTCTGCTCGGCAGGTGCGACGCGCAGCCTGTGGCTCCAGAAACCATGATGGCTACAGGGTGCTGCGCATCAACAGATTCCAACAGCTATGAATTTCTAAAATGAAACCCGTGAGCCTGCTCGCGCTGGCAGTAGTAATCGGTTTCCTTCAGCTTTTTCTGGCTGGCCATTCTCTTGATCCGCTTCTCCATGACCTTGTCCTCCTGATTCAGGAAATGATGCTCGTTGAAGGGCTTCTTCTCAGAGGCTGTCTTCTTGGCAAGACGCTTTCGCAGCCAGTAAGGCTTCTCTTCCCCCTCTTCCTCACTGCCCGAATCCTCCCAGGCCCAGCCCAGCATGCGGTAAAGCTCGCGTAGCTCCATTTTCAATAGACGAAGCCGGCCTTTGATCTTTGAGATTTTCTCCTTGCAGATCTTCTGCTTCTTCATGATTTCCACCTGTTCCTCTCCGAGCTGTCGCAGCAGGCCTCCACGTGGGTCTGGAGGTGGCAAGCTCTGCACTTCCTTGACCATCTCCTTCACCACAGCCTTTTCCTGCTGAGCCACTGCCTGCACTGCACGCAGGCTTGCAAGCTTGTGCACTCCGAATGTTACTCCTTAGGACAGGCGGCTGCTAGTGGTATATCCTAGAAAAAATTAACGCCACGCGCACTTTCAACCATTCGGCCTCCTGTTCCTTGACCTGAGCGGTCAGCGCCTGGGCCTTCTCGGCAGCCTCATTGGCTTCCTGTGCCAGCTGCTCGGCCTCGGCTTCCATGGCTTTCGCAGCCTCCGCCTCCTTCCGCACATCCTCGTCAATCTCCTCACAGCCGAAGCTTCATTCTACCATTCTCCTACAGCCATCACTGGACCACCATCACAGAAGCTCGTTTCCAGGCCTGGTTACTCTTGTGCTCGGCGCGCTGCAGCGGTTGCTCCAGATCCTTTACTTCCTCCTTCGCTTGGGTTGCAGTCTTCTCCCAGCGCGCCAGCAAACTGCACCAGGGATGCCAGATTCAACTCAGGTTTCATGACCAAGTGCGATATGTTTAGGGCTGCAAAAACTGCTCTGCAACATCTGAAGATGACAGGCCGCTCGCTACGAATTCAAACATTTGGAGCTTCTCGAAGATTTCTAACACTGCAGATTGCACTTTCAAAGGAATCGCTCGAACCTTACGCATGTCTGGCAAAACAGATTAAAGCCCCCAACTGCTGTGAACTGCGTCTTAGAAGTATTCGGAGGCTTCCAAGTCTAAACACCTGCTAGTACACATGCAGGTCTGATGGGTCGGCTGCAAAATAAAGTAGTAGTTGCCACTCTTGGAATGATTGGGATTCTACTAAAACAAACCCAGAACAAAAATCACAGACTATCAGAAAAGGAGGCAGCCGTTTGGAGTTGATCACACGACGACCAATTGCTTGTTTTGACCTGAGCGTTCCTTGACCACCCCTAAACCCTCAACCCAATCAATGCTAGACCTTAACCCGATGCTCTACTTTTAACCCCTCCGCAAACCAGCACCGACGAGGTTGCTGGGCACACGGCGCCCGCCAAGCAAGTGGCTGCACCTAGTCCAATCATTAATTTCCGCGCCCCTTTCTCCTGGCAGAATATTTTTCTCATATTGACTGTCTTTGTTCGTTTCTTGTTTTTCGTTCTGTATCCCTTACTTTCAGCCCGCCCCGTCCGCTCACGGCCTTCGCACTACTTTAGGACTCCGACTCCCGTCTTGCTGCCGATCTTTCTTCGTAGCACACTGGACAGGAACACATGGCTTCCCAGTGAAGAAAAAATCAAGGCGAGAAGCCAACACCCCCAGGATATCGAAGAGCCCAGCCAGAAAACCGTGAACAACTACTCTAGAACTCAGCAACGGGTAGGCTGAAGTGCAATTCACACTTCTTAAAGCGCCTCCGAATCGTGCTGGTTGTAGGCTTTGGAACCTCCTAACTCTGAACCATGCCACAATTTGAAAGTATATTTGGCGACACACCTCCACCTGCCCAGAGGGGCTCCACATGCTAATTGCATTAGCTCAACACTTAACAGCTGCACACGCTCCGACACACAAAAAAACACAACAAAATGACAAACAAATACATATGTTGCCCAGCAATAGTGCCTTTTGACTCGGGCCCTCTTCTGCCCTTCCACATCTTGCTGGCGCGACTTCTTCTGAGTTTTTAGCTTCGCAATCCTGAGATCGTTTCACATGTGCTTATTCTGAAGTTATCAAGCCAAAAGATGCAGTGAGCCGACTTGCCTTTAAAGTTGAAGCTCAGGCAAGCTTCTTCCTGTTTCGCACGAAGGTCGTGCGCAGCTTCTTCAGTTCTACCTCTGCGGCATTGCATAGGTCAAACGGGCTGCTGGAAAAACATAGACTCGCCATGCACACGATGCAATTGCAGCATTGCATTTTGAAAGCTGTCAATGGAAGGGAGCCTTTGTGGGAGGACGAAGATAGGCGGCAAAGAATTTCCGAATCTCCTGCAAAGTCAGAGTTTTGGCTCTCGGTACCCCCGTTAACGTTATGCAATGTTCTGCAAGTTCGATAAGGCTGACCTCTTCTTCATCCCAGTCATCCCAGAAGTCTTCTGGAACGCTGGACCCTGAACTGTTGCCACCTTCCGTTTCTGACTCCGAAGCCTGTCACGCACAAGATGCGTAAAGAGGCGGCGGAAGAGAGATGACAAGGCTTTGTGGGCGCCTCCTCCTCTTCCTCTTCGACCCTCAGCTGTGACAGTGCCAACACATTCACTGCACCATGCAGAGCCTTGCGGGGAAAGCAGGGTAAGTTCGATGCTCAGACGAAGAGTCTGGAGGGATTTCAGGATCAGGCTCCTTCAGGACTGAAATTAAACTGCAAAAATGAACTTAACACATGTCCTGAAGTCTGGTCACCGCAGTCGCATGCCTCCTGTCCAGAATGATGCTACTGAACGTTCTCGAGAGAACAAATCGGATGCTTCCGAGGACAATGCTGGTTGTACGAGTTGATGGCGGCCAGCTTCCTAGCAATGTCCTGCGCGATGGCTGCCGGCGGCTACAATATTCGTAGCTTTTTGAGTGTGGATGACTTGGAGATTGGAGACACTAAGGGGTCGTTTTTGGGTTTCGGGGGAGAACCAGGCCGACGAAAACCCACGCGGTTTCTGCGAGGTCCCCTTGGACAAGAATAGCATTGTCTGCCACAACATCGAGGGGGAATTTTTTGGGGTATTAATATTTTATGTGTTTCCTGGGTCTAGGATATTGGTATTTAGGTGTTTCCTGGGTTTGGGATAGCAGTCTTTTGGGCATTTCCTATATAACCACCAAAAAACACAAAATCAATATCAGAAAACACTTTGTTCTCCCCCAACCACTTTTTTTTGGATTCCTGAAAAACCTGGAGAAGAAACCGGAAAGATCCCGATAAACCTGAAGGAAAAGTGCCTTCACCGGTCAGCAGTCTAAGCAAAGTTGAAATTTGTGGCATGCTTTGTCAAATTTGTTTTGAACAAGTTTCGGACAGTTGTTGGACAGCTATGGGGTAAGTGTTCAACAAGTTCCGGGCAACTATCTGGCACATTGGGGTAAGTTTCGGGCTGTTTTTGAACACGTTCGGACAGGTTCTGGGGACAGGTTTCGGGCTGGTGTTGGGCAGTTATTTGGCGCATGCTCCAGATTGAGGGTGGCCTCAAGATCTGCACGAACGCGTTGAGGCGACGCCGCACAAGTCCCAAACAAGTTTTGCTAGTTCGGTTTTGATGTGGTTCAAATGGTTGTGCTGAACATTGCTCAACGCTTTACACTGTGGTTGGTTTCAAAAGGGGGATATGTGAGGTTGAGACAAAAACGTCGAATGAAATGAGATGTCCCACGGCAGCTCCAGTGCATAGCAAGGTAATGGGTAGTTCTCACTCGGGCTTGCAAGGATGTCGATTATAAGATCACTTATCTAATCTCTTGCGAAATGCCTATGATGATCCGCGTCTTTTCGGGCAGTCTGTCATTGACCAGAGCCCCAACAAGCCGGGATCAGTAAATGCACGTGAAACATGTTTAACCGACTGGTGCGGCGCGCAGCTTCTGCTCTCGCGCGGCTGTTGATGGATCGTGCAAGCCATAGTCTGGCACGCCGGCTGCTGCGTTTGGCACTGTTGCGGGCTTATCGTTGCGTTTTCCTTATATCTGCGTTGCTCTGGGAGGCTCTTGTTGGCTTCCGCTTTGATCTAGCAGTCTAGCATTCCTGATCTTCGGGATCCTTACAGGCTTGGCTCTCTGGCCTTTCCAGCTGCTTTTGTTGTGGCGAGCCTACTTCAATGCCTGTATTCAAGCTCGCCTCCGCGGAGCCCTCTATGCACTTTACGACTTTACGGACTTTATGAGCTCCTGGAACTAGCTCCAAAACCTCCAGAAGCACATCAATTCCCTGACTCGCCGGATCCAGGCCCTTGGGCTTGAGGTGCGGCCCACCCAGGCCTCATCTGGGACCAACACTACTGACGAGGGCTCCGCGAGCGCGTACCTGCTGGTCCGGGACTACAAGCTCAACGTTTCCGACATCTAGTGCCGGTGTTCACCAAGTTTAGCTTACCTCAACCCGGGGCTCAGCAGCAATCGGATTCCATCTCGGCAGGCTCTGCCTCCTAGCAGGAGGCACGTGAAGCAGTTGCTCGTGGATCCCCTTTTGGCCGGAATCTCCTTCCGCATGCTGTTCTTTTGGACTATGGTGCCGGTGCGGCCAACGTCGAGATGGATAACCAGCCTTTAGAGGTGAGCCGTTGTTACTTGGTGCCACAGTGCCACAAGACGGGGTGGCAAGGCCTTTAGAGGAAGGTCCCACACAGAAAGTTTTTGTGTAGATGTGGCTCACTGGAAAAGAGAGCGCCCGAGTGATTCCTGCAATTCCGATTGTTGTCGTTGGGGATCGCCTCTTGGTTGCTCTTCCTGGTCCTGTATGGCATCGCCGCCAGCCGGGCAGACGGCTACTTCCAACAGGTTTTGGCTTCAGTTGCTGGAGCGCCCCCTTGAGATGAGAAGATCCTGCGTCAGCTCCGCCCGGCAGTTGGGGTCCGAGCGCCGACAAGCAGCGGAAACTGACAAGTTCGACCCTGGCTTTGCCGATCGTGGAAGACAAGCCTGTGCTCCGCTCAGGGATGTTCTGGCTGCTTCGGTGGCCTTTTCAGACGACCGCTTGTCTTTCTTGACTGCCGAAATCAAGTGGCGCCAGGGGCAGCTTGGCGACAAGTTCGAAAGACGGGTCAAGGCGCTCGAGTCCTCCCTCGGTGAGATCAAGGCATCTCTGGCAGCACCTACTTGTGGCTTAGCAAGGCCGGCCTTCGGGTCATGAGCCCGCAGCTGTAGCTGCGAAGTATAAGCCGGAAGCAAAGTGGTCAGCGGCTGGGCACCTTTTCCTGTCAGATGGAGCTCCAGGATCCCTTGCCAGAAGCATTCATTCGTAGACAGAGGGATCGATCAAGGTCCCGGACCGTTTCCACTTCATCTGACCCTTGGCCCATGCCTCTATACCCTGAAGCCTATCGGGCCTATCGGGAATCTGGCGATCCTTGCAGGGTTCGTGCATGTAAGAGAGCCGTGACTTCCACGGTCATCACTTTTTCTTTCCTCCATCTTCGTGAACCCCACCAGGCTCGTGCAGAGATTCTCATTGGTAGGAGGTTGAGTTCCAGACAATTGGCTGTTGTTATGAAGTTTTTAGAACTTGCTGCAAACATGGAGAATTCACCCGCTGAGGTCACTGTGGAAAGCATGGGTTGCGATGCGTTGAAAAGCTTAGTTTGACCGTCGGAAGCCCGGAGGATTTTCTTGTAAAGACATACCCGGCCCGGTGTCTACTCCAAGATCGCCCGTTGACACTGTTCAAACCCAATCAGGTTACGCAACAATTTCTATCAGGAATCTTTGCGGTAGGCAAGGACCAGCACAGGAACTGCAGGCCAATGGCCTTAAGCGAACGTTTGAGGCCATGGATCAAGAGCCTGGCGTCGCTTTCGGTGAAGATTTTGGCAGACCTCTGCTACTTCCAGGAGGAAACAATACGACTCACCTAAGAGGGGTGGGGCAGTGAGGGGTTCCGAAAAATTGCAGGCTCATTTCCTGGACGAATCTTACAGATCCGCAAATTCAGCTGGCGCAGTCTGAGAAAGCGGAGCCATTTCTGGACGACACCCGCCTGCTTGCCGACGAGATTCTTGAGCGCGAGCACGGTAGCTCTTGAGCACGAAAATGGCTGCACGCACGTTTGGTCTGCGTTCGTGTTGCTCTGGTGCGGGCTGGAGACTCCAGGTGCAGAAGAGGACTTTTTTCTTCTTGTGCCTGCGCTGCAAATCTTCGGAATTGCCAGAGAGCTGGACCTACCAGGCTAGCGCGGGGGCTTCCTTGCAGTGAGAGCGGGACAGTGAGCAGGGCGGAGAGTGACCCCTCCTCCAGCAGGGCCCATTATTGAATGGGAGGTGTAGAAAACATGTACTTTTCGAGCGATGCGCGGGATTTTTATCACTTGTTTGCAGTGCCACAATTTGTGCCTGAGGTCTTTTGTCGGAAGTTCTCAGCGTACGAGGCCAAGGAGCATGCCACCTCTCATTACCTGGTCCCTGCCTGAAATGCATTAGCGATGGGGGACTGTAAAGCCGCGGAATTAGCGTAGACGTGTTTCTCTTGTTTGGCTTGAAGGGGTGTGGGATCCTGCTTCCACTTTGGCGTTGAGTGGACATTGACCTTGACTCCGGGCATCAGTGCTTGGAGGGGTAATAATGATGGATGACTTTGTGTGCCTTTAAAAGGCAGAACACAGACGACCTTTACGGGACCTTTACCCAGAGGAGCTCAGGCCGCGGACGGTCTCAGTGCTGCTTACGTCGCTCACCTTGTACTCATCCTGGCAAGGGACTCGACCGTGCGGCAGGGCTCGTCCGTGGTTCACTTCATCGAACAACTCTCTGTCATATTAATTTAGAATTTTGACTCTCAGAGCGACAACTTCCAGCTTGCTTCAAATGATTACGGATCATTCGTCTCGTGCTGCGTTTGCAAAAGGAAGCTCCTCTCTTTGCTCAGTCAGGTGTTTTCAGCTGCGCAACATCGCGAAGCAGACGAAATCATTCTCTTCACCCCAAACTTGCAAGAAAAACTTCTGCTGCGCGCCCGTTGCTCCCCTTTGCCGTGACCAACATCTGAGCGAATGTGTTTGCGCAGGTTTTCGCCACCGATGACTGCGGCTGGGGAGGGCCCGAGGTCTCCTGCGAAATTCCTCCTGCAATAGACAAGGTAAGTATTCTTCAGGATTTGTAGTTAAGCTTTAAAGTATGGTGCGTGTTTAGTTTAACCGAGTTTGTGGCAGGGTAGGAAATTTAAGAGGACACTTGGCAGGAAAGGTATCCAATTCGTGGAGCCTCCAAAGACTCGCGTGCCAATAGCTCCGCAGCGAAGCATGTCTTTGCAGTCGTATGTTATCTTGATACTCTCCAGATCCTTGCGGGGTTTCTGTTTTCATCTTGCCTCCGTACTCACATCCAATTCATTGCAGCATGCCTATGCCCGCGCTGTGTGCTTGCCATTCTGGCCACCTCTGACAACGCGGCCCAGTGGTGCTGTTGACCTAGTTTTCTATGGCACTCCCAGCAAAGGCAGAAAGGCCGCAGATGAGCAGGTCGCAGGGGGAATGGATGGACCCACTCGAATTCTGGAGTAAGGGCAAGCTGCTCCAGGGGATGCCTTCAGGGCAATCGACCTCGAGGCTGGGCACGAATCTGGACGTAGGTAGTGAGTGAGAAACGACCTGGCCTACGGAAACGTTCCTTCCCAACCTTTTCTTCCCCCCTCCGCGTACGTCATTGGGGAGATCCAGAAGAATTCCACTCTCCGGGCCAAGGTGCCACACGAACCTCCATGCACCCGCCCCCCCAAACCGGGCAGCTTGGGTTCGATTTGGGCACTTGGCAAGACAGCCCAC